TTCAATACGTCGTTGACGTTCAATATCACGATCACGTTTACGTTGTTCTTTTAATTTTTCATAATCATTTGGTTTTAATGGATCATATTCATCTGTATAACCAAATACTGATATATTTGAAGTTATATTTTGAATTAATGCTGTTACTGAAGGTGATGGTTCACTAGAATCTTGTTGTTATGAATTACTATCACGTAATTCCATCTTTTATCATATTAAAAAAAATTATCGAATTTTCTTTTTTCTTTTTTTTTGTTAAATGAGAGTTACGCACCTTTCCAGTAATACTATTAAATGTAACTTCAGCATTTGGATGACGTGGTAATGGTGGTGCTCGTTTTTTACGTAGATCAGCTACAGGTCCAACAACATTTTTAGTTAGATCTTTCTAAAAAAATTTCAATAAACAAATAATTATGTAAAAGAAAATATTTTACTTTAAGTTGTTGTTGTTGATGAAATTTTTTTGCATGAATTGGTCCTTGAAGTAATTTAATTGAATCTGACCAAGCTCCAACTAATTAAAAAAGGAAATAAACAAATCGACAAATGTTTCTTTTTCTTTCTTTTTTTTTGATTATTTGAAACTTACCTTTTGTAGTACCATCTTTATTTGGTTCTAGTAATTCATCATCATATAGTGACATGCTTTTGTCTTTAGATAATCTATTTGAAAGATATACAATAAGAAATTGTTTGAATTTGAAAGGTAAATAGAGATATTCAAATAAAGTGTTCTCAGAGGTTCTAATCAACATCCAATGATAAATTTTAACGAACAAAAATTTTCATTGGATCATCATCGTCTACTAATAACACTCGATGAATCATTAACCATTCGTACTTTACATCAGGGTTTGCAATAGCAGGTGTACCAAGCAGAAACAAAATATACAGAACATCTGCTGTTTTTTCTATGTACACTCTGTTTTACCCTTTGGTTGGAAAAACAAAGTGTACGTCATACACTGTATAGAATAAATTTACACTTTCATATTAATGCATTAAAAGTGCTAAGAAGTTTTAAATCAAATAGAATGGAAAGACCATAGTAAATTGTGATATCTTTCGATCGGTCTTATCATTAATTAGATATGCCTTCTTTTCTTCTCGATCTCTGATAATGATGTGACTCTATGCAATAAAAAACTCGTTTATGTTTTTTTCTATAAACTCGCGTTTTTCTTTGCTTATTTTTTGTAAAACGGTAGATAATGAAATAGGATAGGTACTTGTTATTTTTGGATGATTATGTGCTTACAATTCTCGGTTCTGAATGATCCGAATATTTCAATTTATATTTTATATTTGAAAAAAAATTGACTTCCCTATCCGTACACTTTGGTGATGAAAATAAAGTGTACGGATACACTGTAGTTATATAAGTAAAAAGTACAGATGCATTTTGTTTTAGATTTCCATTTCAAACCCTGCTTTACATATATAAGAGTTAAATGGTCTAAATGTAGATTATTTCATCCGACAACAAAAACTAAAAGAAAGAATATAACATTACTATTGTCTATTAAAAAATTTTAACAAGATAAAATGATGTTAAAGAAATTAGTTAATAATCCTCGAATATTTTTAACAGTCGTTGCAAAACGTTCATTAAATATTCAATCTATTGATCATAATCTTGGTGATCGAATGAAAATGTTAAATGATAATAAACAATATTTACAAACATTAGAATTAATCGATAAACATATAAATAATATTGAAAAATGTTCAAACTGGATTATTATACAAACTCTAAAAGCATGTAGTGAATTACGTGATATTCAACGTGGTTCAAATATTCATAATTTAGTTTCATCTCGATTAAAACATGATCCATACATATTACCGTCGTTAATACACTTCTACAGTAAGTTCATTTAATAAAACAAAGAATATCATTTTTTATTTCATATTATTGGAAGCAAGAATACAACTTCACTTTAGTTAGACTTTCACCATCTTTTATCATAAAAATTTCTAACAAATATTTTGAACTTATTATATTTGTTTTAGGAAAATGTAAATTAACATTTTGTTTTTTTAGACATATCATAAAATAATTAAATTCTTAATAGTTCGAATTACATGAGAAAAAGAAATAGTTTTTGTATACATTTACCAAAAAAAAAGCAATATCTTATTCGAAATACACAACAACAAGTACTACATAATAACATTTGATAAATAATTTTTATATCAAATATTTTGATAGTTAAGTGTTAAAAAAGTTTCATTTTTGTGTAAATTTGATTTATAAAATCAAAAAATTATTTAAAAAGAAACAGAAACATCATACATATATAGACTCTGAATATAATTGTTACAACAAATGACAAGAAAACAATAATTGAAAGCTAGAAAGAAACTTTTCAACGAACTCAACAATAAGCTATTGCATGTCAAAATATAGAATATACATATATGACTAGGAATCACAAAATGTAACAGTTCAAATTTAGAATGAAAACAAAAAATGTAAAGTGCAATTCATTTTCAGTAAGTGTACGCATAATATTCTATGTTTATGAACAGAAGGTAAAATATAGCATCGATTAGATACAAAAAATATTTTTGAAAAATTGTTATTATTATGAATCTTTTATATTGTCAAAACAAACTTTTATTCTCCTCTTCATTATAATTGCAATGTCATATTTGTCAAAATTATATGAGAAGGTTACTAAGCTGTAGATAAATAGAACCAAAGTAACCATCTTCACTCATCAAATATTGGATATCCAGACAAAGGGAAGAAGAATCAAACATTTCAGAACGTTTAAGTAATCTCTATGAAAATGCCGTTCTTTGTCGTACAAGTTTTTTGCGAGAATAGAATGTTTTGTTTAGGAGATGAAAGGGATTCGGCAATAGAAAACTAGAGAATCCTTCTTCATGTTATTCTTGTCTCTCGCAATCATAAATATTTTGTAACAAAAGCACACAAATTTTTCTAATAAGTCTTTGTGGAAAATTTTTATTCTAATGGACATCCAGGAAGGGAATGGATTTTAAATATACGATTTCTGTCTCGATTATCCTTTATGGATAATCCCTTCATGACAGAATAATATAGTAACCTGTATGCTGAAAACGGTTGCTGATCAAATTTTTTGTTTTTCTTTTCAAATTAAAATTACTACAGTACTGATAACAGAATACTATCATAGGATATATTATAGTATTTGTCAGATATTCTATGTGATAAAAACATACGGACTTGAAAACAAAAAACAAAACAAGCCATGATCTTCGTGTATATCACATGAAAAACATGGTATAGCTGTTGATGATGAATTAGACATAGTTAAAAAAACATTTGTCCTGTTTTCACCGATGGATATATTCTTGCTAGAATAAGATTCATATTCGTTTCATCATTTTAATGACTCTTATTCGAATTTTTGAAGTGACTAGGTAGAATTACAAATGATTTATTGTTCAATAATAATCCTAAGAAAAATCGAAGTTGATAGGTCACCAAACTTCTTATGTACTATACCAAACTTAAATAAAATATAATATTGATGATCAGTGCAAGAAATTCCATCATATTCGATATAAAACTTTTATCTGAACGAGAAAATTTTGTTTATGACTAAACAACCAAAATTCTTCAGTCAGACGACAATTTTGATTTAATTAAAAATTTTCAAAGTGTTCCCATAAATATATAAATATCACTTAGTTTTAATATCATGATATACAAACAAATAAAGCTAGTTTCTTATCTATCTCATAAGTCTTTCATTAAAGTGCAATGTGGTGATATTGATCGTGCTCAATCTTTGTTTGATGCATCGTCGAAAAGAACGTTGAAAATTTATGGAGCAATGATGAAAGGTTAAAATACGTTTTGTAATTTAAATATATTCATTTGATTATTTCTAGGTTATATAAGAAATAATCAAGCAAAAAAAGCAATTGATCTTTTTAGTGAAATAAATAATCCAGATAAAATTATTATCAATCTTTTATTTAATGCATGTGCTCAATTAGGAACAACTAAAGAATTAAATTTAATAAAAAAAGTTTTATCAAATATTTCCGAATCTTTTCATTCAGATCCATTTATTCAAACATCATTAATTGATGCATTAATGAAATGTGGTGATATAAATTATGCTCAATTATTATTTGATAAAATAAAAAGAAAAAATTTATACATTTATGGAGCAATGATGAAAGGTAAAATTATCATGTTTTATATTCATTTATTTCTTCAATTGAATCTTTTTTTTTTACAGGTTTTATAAAAAATAATATGGCTATTAAAGCAATTGATATATTCAATGAAATAAAAAATCCCAATGAAGTTATCGTTAATTTTTTCTTTAATGCTTGTGCACAATTGAGAAATAATCAAGGATTAAATTTGATAAAAAACGTTCTATTAAATATTCCTCAAAGTTTTCTTTCGGATTCTAATCTTTTAACATCTTTAATTGATGCATTGATGATATGTGGTGATATAAAAACAGCTGAAACATTATTTGAAAACTCTAAAATGAAAACATTATCTATGTATAGTGTTATGATGAAAGGTAACAACTTCAAATTATATGCATAAATTCTTCTATGACATGTGTATTTTTTTCCAAAGGTTTTATAATAAATAATATGGCTAATAAAGCAGCTAAATTATTCGATGATATTAAGAATCCGAATGAAATTGTTATTTGTCTTTTATTTAATGCATATGCTCAATTAGGAACAACTAAAGAATTAAATTTGATAAAAAAAATTTCATCAAATATTTCAGATTCTTTTCATTCGAATCCATTTATTCAAACATCATTAATTGATGCATTAATGAAATGTGGTGATACAAATTATGCTCAATTATTATTTGATAAAATAAAAACTAAAAATTTATACATTTATGGAGCAATGATGAAAGGTAAAATTATCATGTTTTATATTCATTTATTTCTTCAATTGAATCTTTTTTTTTACAGGTTTTATAAAAAATAATATGGCTATTAAAGCAATTGATATATTTCATAAAATTAAAAATCCTGATCGGGTTATTTATCTTCTTTTATTTAGTGCTTGTGCACAAATAGCCACAGAAGAAGCATTAAATTTGACGAAAAAAATCTCATCAAATATTTCTCAAGTTTTTCTTTCGGATTCTAGTCTTTTAACATCTTTAATTGATGCATTGATGATGTGTGGTGATATAAAAACAGCTAAATCATTATTTGAAAAATCAAAAATGAAAACAATGTCTATGTATAGTGTTATGATGAAAGGTAACAACTTGAATTATCATTTAATAAAAAATATTTTTTATTTATTCAGGTTATGTAGTAAACAATATGGCAACTAAAGCAATTGATATTTACAATAATATTCGTAAAGATGAATATCAAAGAGAAAATAATCATAGCAAAATATCGGATTTATTTAATGTAATAGAAAATGATTATTCTCAATCAGATATAACTATTTACCTTTGGTTAATCAAAGCATTATCTCAAATAGCTATTTTTTCAATATCACAAACGTTTGTTAAACATATTCCAAACTGTTATCTTAGGAATAATCGAATTCGAAATTCATTAATCAACATGTGGGTATGTTTAAAGACAATTATCTTCTTCGTTTTTGTTTTAAAATAAAATATAGGGAAAAACTGGTTCTATTGATCAAGCAGAACGAATTTTTAATAATATATCTCAATTTGATCATGTTGGATATACAGCAATGAGTTTGTTTTACTGATTTAAAAAAAAACCTGAAATCTTATTATTTGTTCTTGCTTAATTAGTTAATGCTTATGGGTTAAATGGTATGGGTATGCAAGCAGTAGAACTCTTTCGTAAAATGCCAAAAGAATTTATTGATGAATCGGCTTACGTTTGTGTTTTAAATGCTTGTTCACATTCAGGACTCGTTGATGTAGCTCGTTCAATCTTCAACAATATTTCAATGAAAACAGATTTTATCTATACAACTATGGTATGTCAAACACAAAGTTTTATATTGACTGACTTAAACAAATCATCTATCTATATATGATTAGATTGATTGTCTTAGTCGTGCTGCTATGTTTGAAGAAGCACAACAATTGATTGATGAATTTGAATATCATCATGCGCCTGTATGGTCAATGTATAGTAAGTCATTTTTATCTGTTTTAATTTTTGACAGTTATGACATATACGTTTTTTTTTTGATTAACTCTTCAATCGAATAAATTTAATTTTAATCTATTTAAAAGTAGTCTTTCAATTGTACAAAAAGAAAAGATTAGGACGATATTTAAATAAAATAAAATTTAATAAAAATACGAGAAAAATAAAATAATAGACAAGAAACAAATTGACTCGATAGAAGAATTTTATTTAATCATTAAAATATGCTACTAAATATCTCTTTTTTTTTGTTCTTTATTTAACCACAATGAATTCAGTTTTCAAAATATACAAGAATGTTTTATTTTTTTTTCATATTAACTGTTTCGTCAATGGAAAGAAATTTTTTTTTGTTTTCATAGTTGAAAGCATAGAAATATATCTGTAAACGATCATATAAAAAAATAGAATGAATCAGTGTCTTTAGTTCTCGAAGAATATTTCATATTCCCAAAAATACGCCAGATATATTTATAATTTAAATAATTACTCTCTCATTAATTGATAATTCACAATAGACATGCTTCAGGTGCCCATCATAGAAGACATCAATTATAGGGCATGTAAAACAGGAACTGAAGATCGTTACAGACTCCGATCAATAGTTTTATGTCATGATCAGAAGTCATATAGAAGTTAAATCTAATTAATATATGCATGAAGTGGAATGTTTCCTTGTCGAAATGCTATACTCGAAAGTAAAGAATAATGTCGAAGTATATTCACATATGCATAAAGAAGGCCACTTTTTGTTCTTAACAGTAACAACAGATATATTATGTTTCACATTTTTATTCTACGAGAACTGCGCTAGTACTTTTTATAATATTATGAGATATGAATATCTGATATAGGCCAAGCTGCTGAATTGCATATCATTCGTCGGCAGTACACTTTGTCCACACATGTTTGTCGACAATATATTTCTTCTCTCCCTTACGAACTACTTTATTCTTACAATTTAACAACTTAGAAAACGATTTCATTTTACCTAAAAAAAACCAAAAGTTTTCCTAGCATGAGTTTGGCTGTGTGTGACCGATAAAGAATGCTTCATCACCAAAATTATAGCCAAATTTACAGTTCCACTGGGATCTACATCCATATATCTGTACCTGTCCGCGCACACTCACCTGCTACTGCAATAGATCTACAATAGTTCCAGTTCATGAGCTCAACTCAAATAAAAATTTATGCACAGTTTCAAAAGATCAGTTCAGATCAAAAGTACGGCTCGAACAGTTCGTATGAACTGAACTGAACTGTCTAACAACTCTGCTCATATCACGAGCATCTTGACACCGAAGTACTCGCAGCTCCATCTTTAGTACGAAAAGTACAATCTGAAATGCTGGAAGCACTACCTATGAGTTCTATAGAATCACCTGGGACGCTAATAGAATTATCGATGATGCTAAGGACCGCTTAAGATCCTGTTGGATCAGATAGAATAAAAAAACGCATTATCTTTTACAATAAAGGATCCGTAGTTATGTTACTAACAACTAACTTGACGCTGTCAATATCCCAGATCATTGTTATAGCATCCCAGGTGAATTAATGCTTCTAACATAGTTGGCTGAGCTGCTGGCATTTCGATCTCAAGAGAGAATAACAAAGAGCTTCGAACACCTCCGCTTCACTACTGAACTTCCTCTAAACAGCTCATGATGCGAGCTGAGCCATTAGAACCATTTAGATCAGTTCGTTTATCGCAACAGATCATCAGTTTAGAAATTTCTCTGGACTATCGTATCTTTATCCTGCACTCATATCCACGCAAACATCTATGCCCATACTTACACTTGCATCTGCTACCACATCTGTATCTTAACCTACATCCTTGTTGTTTTCTGTTGTATCTGCTTGGTCAGTTGAAAAATGTAGACTAGTGCTTCTTAACGTTAACACTTCTTCAGAACTCCTTGTCGACGAATCATATGATGACCGAGTTGGTTTGCGAAAAAAATAATTGACTTTAAACAAGATCACAAAGATGTGACTCATATTGGACACGAGAATATACAATAAATAATTTTTTTCCTTTTTCTTTACACAAATTTTCACGACATTTTCAAACTTAAAGTTTGAAAATGTCGTGAAAATTTGTGTAGTACAACTGAAAATTTGTGTAAAGTGCAACTGAAAATGAATTAATAATTCATTTTCAGTTGTACTTTTACATAGAAAAGTGAAGTCAATGGATCAATTAAATATGACTATTGTTTTAAGATAATTTACAGATTATGGTCTATGATTATCTAGTTATTTTTCATAGTAATAACTTTTGAACGTAAGATTAAAATACAATCTATTCAAAAAAGAATTTTCATTTACTATTTATGAAATAAATATTTAGTGTTTTTGTTTATTTTTGACGTATTTATTTAATAAAAAGAGAAAGAATATATTTTAATTAAGCAGACATTTTTTGAAAAGATTATTTAGACAAGGTTAAAATTGGAGACGATACAATGAAAAAAAAAATTTTTCTTTAATCTAAACATTCTTTATGGATAATAACTATATATAATGAAATGAAATTTGACTTCAAATTGAATTAATAAAAATATAAATTTGATTTAAAATCCTATTGAATTTATTATCTTAGAAACTTTTTTGTAACAATATTAAATAAATTTCTTGAATATAAAATCGACAGAAAATTTTTCAATTAGAAATCTAATATGTTATAACAGATAGAAATTTGCTTTTATTTTAAAATAAAAGTAAATTAGCATAAAATTATAAGCAGTTAACAAGAAAGAAAACATTTGAAAATTATTTCCTAATCTTGTTGAATTGATTGAAACATCTAGTGCATACTACGTTTCGTTTAATATACATATATATGATTAAATACATGTATAATAGGATTTGTTTTTATAAATTAATTGTCATATATGTAGTGGCGGCGCCAGGGGTGGGCCAGGGTGGGCTCAGCCCACCCTGATTTACATCGAGCCCACCCTGAAAGATTTTGAAAGCTATGTAAAAAGAACACTTTGTGTGGGTTAGGGTGGGCTCAACCCATGATGAGCCCACCCTGAACTGAAATCCTGGCGCCGCTACTACATATTTGTATTGGTTAGAAAGAAAAACAAAAGCAAAAACTGAATTTATAAAGTACAGCTAAATAATTCTATTACATTTAAATATGAGAAACTATAATGATCAACTTAATGAAAAAACTAATTAATTTTACTTTGACTTTTATTATTATTTTAGTGGCAATATTGTCCGGTGCACGTAATGAAACAAATACTAATTTATCACAGAAAATTTTTGATCGCATGAAAAATCTTTTTCCTGAATTAAAAAATTCATTGGTATCAGCTTCAATTCTTCTTTCTAATGTTTATGCATCATCAGGTGATATTGCAAAGGCATCAAGCATAAGAATTCAATTAGAAAAATCAGGTGCAAAGAAAAAAATCGGTTTATCAATCACTGAAATCGATGGAAAAATCTTGGTAAATTTTAATATAAATTTTTAATTCATATCTTAGAAATTTTTTTCATTTATTTTCTTAGCAATTTCGTGCTCATGACCAATCACATCCTCGATCATCTGATATATATATTGAGGCTGATCGAATATCAAAAGAGCTTATTAAATATGGTCATGAATATGATTCAAGTTGGATAACACGACCAATGCAACCTGATGAAACAACTGAATCAATTCTGTGCGGACATAGTGAAAGGTTGGCTATTGCAGCTCATTTTATTGATAATCGAAAACCCAAAACAATTCAAATTACGAAAAATCTTCGTATTTGTCGTGATTGTCGTAAGTTAATCATTTTTATTTTTCATTCTCTTATTTTTCTCTTATTTTGTTTAGATCGAGTGACAAAATTAATTGCTGCTCTTCGTCAATGTGAAATTGTGGTTCGTGATGCAAATCGTATTCACCGCTTCTATACAAATGGACAATGCTCATGCAATGATTATTTTTAAGACTAATAGAAGTCACTATTTTTTTTTCTGTAAATGTTTTGTTTTTGTTATGTCAAAATAAAAAAGAATATGATTTATTTTCTATTCAAATATATATTGAAAACTGGACTATAAAGAGTCTTGCTGTTTCTTTTGTATGTATGTGAATAATTTTATCAACGAACAAACAGTTGTTTGTTTGCCAATAATCAAAAAACAAATCGTTTACTTAAACAGAAACTTTAAAGTTTTGAACGTTCACGACGTGTCTGGTAATGATTTGAAGTCATGTTTTCTTCTTTTGGAAACCATCGATGAAAAATAAGATCCCTAAATAATATTAAAAACGGATCTCTCTTCAGATTCTATAAAATAGCTTTAATTAAATTTTTTTTTGTAAATTTTATAATTATTTTATTCAAAAGAGCGGCGCGAGCGAGAAGAGGAGTCATTGGGAGAAGGACTCTCTCCTTCTTTAAAAAAAAATTTTGCTGCACTTTTCTCCAATATCGAAAGAATTTAAGTAAAGTCTTCTTTAAATTTAGGAGATTATCATTGAAATTTTCTTCGACAATGGAAGCATTAAACTACTATTTTTCTAAATTGTGAAGAATTTAAAATTGCAATTTGCTTAAAGTTCAGATGAATTCAATGGTAATTTTCTTCAAATTTTGAGGAAATTTTTCTCGTATTTTCTCTGATCTTACAATATTCTTTACTTAGGAGTTTGAAGAGAAACCCAGGTAAATTTTATGATTAAAACATAGTTCGCAGAAAAATTTGAAACATTGAAAAATAGATTCAGTTTTCAATGTTGCTTCCAAATATATGTTTTATACTTTTACCTTAAACTGTACTTTCCTAATCGGACTTAGTTAAAATGGTATAAAATCATACCTTTATAGTAATTTACCAGGACGTTTATATGTGACGCATATTTTAGAAGTTTGAAAAATACGTATAGAACTAAAGTGATGTAGCATTCAATGCTCTATTGGATGAACAACAACGCTGATGTGTGTAACATATTTTTACTCAAAACTATCAGTGAGATACAATCTTTCAATTGATATTTATTTGATAATGGAAATATTTGAAGTAGCAAATGTGCGATCATTCAACTATTGATCAAATAGGGTGAGTGTGTATAGGACAGTCTCTTCTTCTCTGTCAACCATACGCATATCGATACTGACACGCACATCTGCACCCATCCACACTCAACTAAGTAAATCACTTGAAGTTTTAAAATTACTTTCAACAACAACATCAGAAACATTAATAATCAAGTAAATAATTGGATTTTTTTCTTTTTTTCATATTCTTTTAATCTCTTATCGAATTTTATTTTGATCTAGCGGTAACAATGAAAATTATTTTAAATTAGTTACAGCTAGTACGGAGACATTATTTACAACATCTGATGAAAATGATTATGATGTACAATAAGCTGTCGAAAAAAATCTTATTAAATTTTTTAAAGCATTTAAAGAAAATTCTTTTTTTTTATATAATTTTTTATGAATTATAAAATAGAATTTAAAAGAAGCAAAATTTAACGAGAATTCGGGCTGAATTACATCAAATTATAAAATGTAATCCAAATGTTGGACCAAAAGCTTTAAACGATTATTTTTATTGTTTGACTTAAATTTATAATAAAGTTTTTTTTATAATTTCGATTAGAGGCTCTATGATGATTTGCCGAATAAGCAAATGTGATACATCCGAAAAAGATTCGTTTATTTTTTTGAACATCTATCAGCAGAATTTTGCTCAGTTGTTGCTCGTTGAGAAGATATTGCTCATGAAAAATAATCAGAATATTATGAACTTAATTTTTCGTATTCTTGGTCGATCGATTAATGATAAAGAAGTAATCAGAAAAATGTCATGCGGTTGAATAGAAACATCGAACAGTCCATAAAATTTTTACAAGGCAAAGTATTGCTCCAGTTAATCGATAACTTTTGAACCCGTGTTTCGGTTAAAACTTCAAACAGGAGAGGCCACTCTTCAAATAATGTAGAATATGTAGTCTGATACTATTTAACGAAATACGAACTGAGAAACTATCCATCATTTGGAGCGATCCACCCTCGAAAGTAATCGAGTGTAGAGTATCATGCAACTTAAGAATAATAAAATTTTATTTATCATTAAATATGAATAAGAAATTAAATAATTTAGTTATAGTAGTTTACTAGCTAGCATTATAGTTAAAATATGAAGTCGAGTGAAAAGGAATTTTTCTTTTCTTTTTCCTAATATTAATAATAAATAATTTTCTTTTGAAACATATAATCACTTATTAAATTATTCTTAGAAACTTCTGATGCCCTATTCAACAAATATGTTATCTCATAATTATAGCACGTTTTCTAATGGCAAATATAATTAATAAATTTTCTTTCAAATAATAATTTCAATTCCTTATAATTATTTTTTATTTTAACAGATCAATTATTTGAATATCATAATCAAAATGTTAGTACACGTTTAATAATTGATTATCTTGGTTTAATAAAAATTTTTATTCAATGACTTGGTTTAAATATCTAAGAATTTCAATCATTATCAAGTAATAATCAACAGTCAATAAATAGAAGTAAAAATATTGATACAAATTAACAACATTTTTCAATCAGTATTCGACAAATAATGAATGTTTTTATTTTCAATGTAAATCTTTTTTTTTTTAGTGTGTTGATATGGTATGTTATATTTGTTTACAACATAATCATCATAATTTTGTATAAAGTTCATTGGAAATACTTGAAATTATACTTAAATATTCAAATTCATTTGATTTTGATCAATTGTTAATTTCAATTCAAATTCGATCCATAGAATAAATTCGTGTTAGTCAAACCTTAAAAACACGTAAATATTTGAGAAGAAAAAAAAACAAGATTTTTTTATTTGTCTTTTTTTTCTAAAACAACAACTTATTCAACATTTCAACGTTGATTTATTGAAATTAATGAACAAC